TCCATACCCCCACCCTCCCCCATTGCTCCATACCCCCCACCCTCCCCATTGCTCCATACCCCCCACCCATCCCATTGCTCCATACCCCCACCCTCCCCATTGCTCCATACCCCCACCCTCTCCATTGCTCCATACCCCCCCTCTCTCCATTGCTCCATACCCCCACCCTCCCCATTGCTCCATACCCCCACCCTCCCCATTGCTCCATACCCCCACCCTCCCCATTGCTCCATACCCCCACCCTCCCCATTGCTCCATACCCCCACCCTCCCCATTGCTCCATACCCCCCTCCATTGCTCCATACCCCCCATCTGCTGCTCCATACCCCCACCCTCCCCATTGCTCCATACCCCCACCCTCCCCATTGCTCCATACCCCCACCCTCCCCATTGCTCCATACCCCCACCCTCCCCATTGCTCCATACCCCCAGCCACCCATTGCTCCATACCCCCACCCTCCCCATTGCTCCATACCCCCACCCTCCCCCATTGCTCCATACCCCCCACCCTCCCCCCATTGCTCCATACCCCCACCCACCCCATTGCTCCATACCCCTACCATCTCCATTGCTCCATACCCCAACCCTCTCCATTGCTCCAACCAACATTCATACTGTCATGTGTAATGTACAGCCTTACCCCTGCATGTGACCCTATAGGGCCCGATGTGCCCCTGTGGGGCCTGTACGCTGGCCACCACCACCACATCAACAGGACATACATGCACAGTAGACAACAGTTCATCACGAAATGGCCACGATCTGCAGCCTGCCTGACACTTTAATGGTGGCCTGCGGTGATGACAGCAACAAATATGAAATGTATTACCAAAACACTATCTTAAATCAGCCTCTAGCCATGTCTCACAAAAACGTACACTGCTAATATTTTAAGTTCAGTTTGAAAAGTGATAAAAAATAGATTTAGTATCAGTGTCAAAATATGTATGAAGCACCCATGACTGTTCCACAGGGTAATGGACAATATTCCAATAGTTAGGACTGATTGTGATATGATTCTTGTCGAAGTGTTACATTTTCAACAGATTATGGTTTTTCAAACACCTTAATCGTCAGCCATTACTGCTGACATTATGCAATGTGTTCTGTGTACATTTCTAAAGCATTTGTATGACCTTGTTAATCTGTATAGAACTTAATGGCGACTGCCACGCTCTTGGCGGGTCAGTGTTAGCGAGGATGTTATGTAAGTCGTTAGTGGTGAACTTTGAGCAAATTGTGTTTATCTCTTAATCTGCGTAGCTATTGGCACTTAAACATTTGTACAAGAAATCATAATATGTTCATAGGGTGTTAATCTACTGTGATTGCCACAATCATTGTTATGTGGAAGAATGCAGGTAACAGGTCAGGTATATTTATGTTTTCTTGTGCAGTATGTGCATCTTAAACAGTGACATCCAAGATACCATATGACTGTAGTTAATGTCATGCCTGTTGGGTATTGCATCACATCTTCATATTGTGGGTGTTCTTTCATTATTTTGAGTAGTGCATTTCTTTGTGACTTGCCCACGATCTTACTCTGGAAAACCTGGCAGCATCGAGGTGGACTGAAAGTAGTATCGGCATATCATGTGACTGCTCTCAATTGGGATATGAAGTATAGTTTTCAAAAAGAGTACTTTGTCTCCAGCGATCTGTAATACTTTGTCCAGGCGTGTTACTATAGTTATTCATAGTCATGGCGTGTTACTATAGTAACTCATAGTCATGGCATGTTACTATAGTCATAGTCATGGCGTGTTACTATAGTTACTCATAGTCATGGCATGTTACTATAGTTACTCATAGTCATGGCGTGTTACTATAGTTACTCATAGTCATGGCATGTTACTATAGTTACTCATAGTCATGGCGTGTTACTATAGTTACTCATAGTCATGGCATGTTACTATAGTTACTCATAGTCATGGCATGTTACTATAGTTACTCATAGTCATGGCATGTTACTATAGTTACTCATAGTCATGGCATGTTACTATAGTTACTCATAGTCATGGCATGTTACTATAGTTACTCATAGTCATGGCATGTTACTATAGTTACTCATAGTCATGGCGTGTTACTATAGTTACTCATAGTCATAGCATGTTACTATAGTTACTCATAGTCATGGCATGTTACTATAGTTACTCATAGTCATGGCATGTTACTATAGTTACTCATAGTCATGGCATGTTACTATAGTTACTCATAGTCATGGCATGTTACTATAGTTACTCATAGTCATGGCATGTTACTATAGTTACTCATAGTCATGGCATGTTACTATAGTTACTCATAGTCATGGCATGTTACTATAGTTACTCATAGTCATGGCATGTTACTATAGTTACTCATAGTCATGGCATGTTACTATAGTTACTCATAGTCATGGCATGTTACTATAGTTACTCATAGTCATGGCATGTTACTATAGTTACTCATAGTCATGGCATGTTACTATAGTTACTCATAGTCATGGCATGTTACTATAGTTACTCATAGTCATGGCATGTTACTATAGTTACTCATAGTCATGGCATGTTACTATAGTTACTCATAGTCATGGCATGTTACTATAGTTACTCATAGTCATGGCATGTTACTATAGTTACTCATAGTCATGGCATGTTACTATAGTTACTCATAGTCATGGCGTGTTACTATAGTTACTCATAGTCATGGCATGTTACTATAGTTACTCATAGTCATGGCATGTTACTATAGTTACTCATAGTCATGGCATGTTACTATAGTTACTATATGTTACTATAGTTACTCATAGTCATGGCATGTTACTATAGTTACTCATAGTCATGGCATGTTACTATAGTTACTCATAGTCATGGCATGTTACTATAGTTACTCATAGTCATGGTATGTTACTATAGTTACTCATAGTCATGGCATGTTACTATAGTTACTCATAGTCATGGCATGTTACTATAGTTACTCATAGTCATGGCATGTTACTATAGTTACTCATAGTCATGGCATGTTACTATAGTTACTCATAGTCATGGCATGTTACTATAGTTACTCATAGTCATAGCATGTTACTATAGTTACTCATAGTCATGGAGTGTTACTATAGTTACTCATAGTCATGGAGTGTTACTATAGTTACTCATAGTCATAGCATGTTACTATAGTTACTCATAGTCATGGCATGTTACTATAGTTACTCATAGTCATGGCGTGTTACTAAAGCTAAACCATAATGGCATGACAGATTAAAAATAGTAATGTGAAAGAATCAAGTGTTAGCTACCTTTGTGTAGTATATGTAGACAAAATGCTTTTAATTTAATCTGTTTATCACATTTCGGACAACAAAAGCTCAACATATCTGTCATTGATTTCGGGGTCAAAGTATAATAAGTGTCCCAAGAGATGCTGGATTTGATTAATCGCTTGATAAATGACCTCAGCCCTGTCACATTAAACTTGTATTCAAAGCTTGTCAGAAAGAATGCTGTACCCATCAACTGCCAGGTTAAAACCTATGACACTTATGTGTGCAATTACGGTAATAAAAAACTACATCTTCAATATTTACGAGATCTATAGCAGAAATGTTTGTCTTGGGGAACCAGTGTTTACTTGTGAATAAGTCACATTAGCTTCAGTAATTGCACCCACGGAAGCTATGTGTGAACAAAGAAGGTATTCTCAGGAGTATTAACCATGAAAATTCAAAGTCCTCATGAAAACACCAGTAAAATGTGGCTGACAAGCTCCCTAAAGAAAGATGTGCAGTTTAATCTAAGAGAACCTTACAATTTGTTTTTCAAGGGCTGTAATTATTTTTGAAATAAACTGCCGACCTGTCGTGTTGAATAGCATCAATTCTTATGATGATCTTTTCTTTCAAGTAAAAGTCGCCTCCGATGCGACAGCTAATTAGTTTAAATCTTGTGAATAGGTATTCACGTTACTGCAGGTTGAGTTCTTTCAAAGTCGTAGCAGCTATTCACCTGTTGCTGAGAGCTTCTATTCATCAGTGGCTCCCCCTAGTGTTTATCGAAAGATAGATCATTCAGCTATTCATGTCGCCAACATTTAATGGCGTTCTTATTGCCAGCTACGTCTTAACTGTTACCATGGAGAGTGGTCCGTCGTAATACACCCGAGGGTGATGCACATGCGTTCAATCTCCGTCAATTTATTTTAAACCGCTTGAATAGTTATTGTCGGGATGACATACTCGCCAGCACATTCCTCCTCTCTTTCTCTCATTCATCAAATTCTTCATTCTCCTCTAATTTGTGTTTGATTTCATTGCCCATTGTGATGGTTTTCACCCATCCGCTAAAACGTTCAGTTATCCATCTTTCCAGAATTAATTTTGCCTCTCTGATTCCTTTATTTGAATTGGACACACTCTTGTCCCACCCATTGCCTCACTTTGAAATCTTTGTTTGTGTTTGGGATTTGTTTCAGACAATCAGAATTTCCAGATAGTTTGATTTCACTGATGTCTTGTTGTGCTTTATCCATGTGTTGTTTCATTGTAGTTTCTGGTCATTAATGAGAGAAAAGGGTGTTGTTTATGAGTAATTTTTTAAGAATGGAAATCTGTAGTTTTTAAAGGAATCAGCGTGTGAACTGAAACATGAACTGGATACACATTAATACATGTGTGAACACTGTATCTGTTTGTGTCTTGCTGCTGCGATAACACAGTGTTTCTACCCGCAATTATTTTAATACACATCTCAACAATACAGCTATTGACCTGAATATAAACATTACAGGGACCTTCAGATCCATGGCTTGTTGTCCAGTTTGGACTTCATTTTTTTTTCAATTATTTTTGTGTGAAACTGAGGCTTTGTCTGCATATAATTAGGACAATCATCACCATTAAATCATCTGTTTTAGCGGTAGTTATTTTGATATGATTATTGAATCAAACCACCGAGCTTCAGATTTGTGATCAGACGCTCTATCCGCTAGGCCAGAGAGGCAGTCATTCTTTCTTTGATGAACTGATGTGTGAAGATGAACAACTTATGCAACTTACAATTATCAGAATGTTGTACTTTTGTATTTGTAGTTGTATGCTGTTGTACTGAGTTGTACTGACCTAGGGAGGTATTTCCATGGATGTGTTTCTGTACTACCATGAATGTGGTGTTGTGGTGAAGGCAGTAACGCTATGTAGGTAGATGAGGCTGCCTGGAAGAGAGATGCTGATATCCATATAATTATCTCTCATGTTCATCGTTACAAGGAAGACCTGGTTTTGATTCCTCACATGGGTACAAAGTGTGAAGCCCATTTCTGGTGTCCCACGTCATGATATTGCTGGAATATTACTAAAACTCACTCACTAAACTCACTCACTCACTCCCAGCTGTATGGCTACAAGTGTGATGACAGCTGTGTGGGTAACCTCCCTTTGTCCCTGCTGTGGTCTCCAGGGTGAGTAGATCTTGTTGTGAAGGGGACTGACTGGTCACTGTGACTGCCGTGTGGGTAACCTCTGTCCCTCCCCAACTCCCCCTCTCTCCCCTGCCAAACCCTGACTCTGTCACCCCATCTTCAACTGTGACATACTAACTATGATCTCTCCCTACCACTACCTCAATCAGCCCTCCATATCTCACTCACTCACCCTCACCTCAACTCAAATCAACTCAACTCTCAACCTTAGTTAAACCACCCCTCACCCCTAACTAAAAAAACCCCTACCCCTACCTCAAAACCTCACCCTAACCTGGATCACCTACATCATTAACCCCTTACCCCTACATCAATATCCCTTCACCCCTACATCAATAACCTCACCCCAACCTGGATTACCCCTCACCCCTACATCAATAACCCCTCACCCCAACCTGGATCACCCTTCACCCCTACATCAATAACCCCTCACCCCAACTGGATCACCCCTCACCCCTACATCAATAACCCCTGATCCCAACCTGGATCACCCTTCACCCCTACATCAATAACCCCTGATCCCAACCTGGATCACCCTTCACCCCTACATCAATAACCCCCACCCCAACCTGGATTACCCTTCACCCTACATCAATAACACCTCACCCCAACCTGGATTACCCTCACCCCTACATCAATAGCCCCTCACCCCAACCTGGATCACCCTTCACCCTACATCAATAACCTCACCCCAACCTGGATCACCCTCACCCCTACATCAATAACACCTCACCCCAACCTGGATCACCCTTCACCCTACATCAATAACCTGCACCCCAACCTGGATTACCCTCACCCCTACATCAATAACACCTCACCCCAACCTGGATTACCCTCACCCCTACATCAATAGCCCCTCACCCCAACCTGGATCACCCCTACATCAATAGCCCTCACCCCAACCTGGATCACCCCTACATCAATAACCCTCACCCCAACCTGGATCACCCTTCACCCTACATCAATAACCTCACCCAACCTGGATCACCCTCACCCCAACCTGGATCACCCTTCACCCTACATCAATAACCCTCACCCCAACCTGGATCACCCCTCACCCCTACATCAATAACCCTCACCCCAACCTGGATCACCCCTCACTCCTACATCAATAACCCTCACCCCCAACCTGGATCACCCCTCACCCCAACCTGGATCACCCCTCACCCCTACATCAATAACCTCACCCCAACCTGGATCACTCCTCACCCCTACATCAATAACCCCTGATCCCAACCTGGATCACCCCTACATTAATAACCCCTCACCCCAACCTGGATCACCCTCACTCCTACATCAATAACCCCTCACCCCAACCTGGATCACCCCTCACCCCTACATCAATAGCCCTCACCCCAACCTGGATCACCCCTCACCCCTACATCAATAACCCTCACCCCAACCTGGATCACCTCCCTCACCCCTACATCAATACCTGACTACCCTCACCCCTACATCAATAACCCTCACCCCAACCTGGATCACCCTCACCCCTACATCAATAACCCTCACCCCAACCTGGATCACCCTCACCCCTACATCAATAACCCCTCACCCCAACCTGGATCACCCCTCACCCCTACATCAATAACCCCTCACCCCAACCTGGATCACCCTCACCCCCTACATCAATAACCCCTCACCCCAACCTGGATCACCCCTCACTCCTACATCAATAACCTCGACCCAACCTGGATCACCCCTCACCCCTACATCAATAACCCCTCACCCCAACCTGGATCACCCCTCATCCCTACATCAATAGCCCCTCACCCCAACCTGGATCACCCCTCACCCCTACATCAATAACACACCTCACCCCAACCTGGATCATCCTTCACCCCTACATCAATAACCCCTCACCCCAACCTGTACCACCCTTCACCCCTACATCAATAGCTCCCTCACCCCAACCTGGATCACCCTCACCCCTACATCAATAGCCCCTCACCCCAACCTGGATCACCTCTCACCCCTACATCAATAACCCTCACCCCAACCTGTATCACCCTTCACCCCTACATCAATAGCCCCTCACCCCAACCTGGATCACCCCTCACCCCTACATCAATAACCCTCACCCCAACCTGGATCACCCCTCACCCTACATCAATAACCCTCACCCCAACCTGTATCACCCTTCACCCCTACATCAATAGCCCTCACCCCAACCTGGATCACCCCTCACCCCTACATCAATAACCCCTCACCCCAACCTGGATCACCCCTCACCCCTACATCAATAGCCCTTCACCCCAACCTGGATCACCTCTCACCCCGAGCCGTCATGAACACCGAAATAAATTGAGTAACTTACAAACATATATCAACACATCCCAAATCCCTATTATATTTCAAGTATGTGGATTTTTTAAGACAACAGAAATATGAGTTTAGTGTGTCCCAGCACCCAGTGACTACAAGGAAACTGCCACTGACAATGCCATGCTGAAGGTGCTAAGAAACAGACAACCACTTGTTCTATCGAGAAAAAACTAGACGCTTTCAGTAATGGATAGCCTTTGTAATTGAAATGAGTTGTTGACTGAAGCATGTTCTTCTGCGTCCACTTCACTGGTCGTGTTTATCTTGTCTTCACATAAGCACCCACTGTTTCTTTCCCTTTTGGAAGGTGCTGCTGTAGGCCGGGACAGGGGCAGGGCAGGGGCAGGGGCAGGGTGTGAGGGTGGGAGCAAGGACAGGGTGGGGACAGGGGGGCATAGGGGTGGGAGGGACAGGAGGCAGGGCAGGGGCAGGGGGGCAGGGATGAGGGTGGGAGCAGGGACAGGGGCAGGGGTGGGGTTTTGAGCAGGGGCTTGGGCGGGGGCACTACCTCCAAGTCATTAGACTTATGACAGGATATCGGCAACGTTATGACATCTTGTTTTTAACAGCTTAAATATTGGGGGGTAGATAAAGAATGTAGTGATTCTCATTGAAAAGATCTTGTTTGATTTACTGTGAAATACATTTTCCAATGTGAGAATGAATTGTTTGTTTTAGAAGACTATTGTATTATTGATTCAGCTCTCTCCCACAAACTTGTAAACCACTGAAAAACCACCCATCTGTATTACCTGGAGTGTTATTTTAATTCAGATCCCTTCGGCTTCAACATCCCTACCCTTGAAACCATGTCACCACTTCCCTACCCCTGAAACCATGTCACAACAACTCACCTCTTAAACCATCCCACCCTGTTCCCCACAACCTACAGTATCCCTGATCCCCACAACCTACAGTAACACTGATCCCCACAACCAACAGTAACCCTGTTCCCCACAAACAAACAGTAACCCTGACCCCCACAACCTACAGTAACCCTGATCCCCACAACCTACAGTAACCCTGACCCCCACAACCTACAGTAACACTTATCCCCACAACCAACAGTAACCCTGTTCCCAAAACCTACAGTTACCCTGATCCCCACACCCTACAGTATCCCTGATCCCCACACCCTACAGTAACACTGATCCCCACAACCAAACAGTATCCCTGATCCCCACACCCTACAGTAACACTGATCCCCACAACCAACAGTAACCCTGTTCCCCACAACCAAGAGTAACCCTGTTCTCCACAACCAACAGTAACCCTGTTCTCCACAACCTACAGTAACCCTGTTCCCCACAACCAATAGTAACCCTGTTCCCACAACCAACAGTAACCCTGTTCCCCACAACCTACAGTAACCCTGTTCTCCACAACCATAGAGTAACCCTGATCCCCACAACCAACAGTAACCCTGTTCCCCACAACCAACAGTAACCCTGATCCCCACAACCAACAGTATCCCTGTTCTCCACAACCTATAGTAACCCTGTTTCCCACAACCAATAGTAACCCTGTTCCCCACAACCAAGAGTAACCCTGTTCCCCACAACCAAGAGTAACCCTGTTCTCCACAACCAAGAGTAACCCTGTTCTCCACAACCAAGAGTAACCCTGTTCCAATAGTAACCCTGTTCCCCACAACCAAGAGTAACCCTGTTCTCCCACAACCAAGAGTAACCCTGTTCTCCACAACCAACAGTAACCCTGTTCTCCACAACCAAGAGTAACCCTGTTCCCCACAACCAACAGTAACCCTGTTCCCCACAACCTACAGTAACCCTGTTCCCCACAACCAATAGTAACCCTGTTCTCCACAACCAATAGTAACCCTGTTCCCCACAACCAATAGTAACCCTGTTCCCCACAACCAAGAGTAACCCTGTTCTCCACAACCAAGAGTAGCCCTGATCCCCACAACCTACAGTAGCCCTGTTTCCCACAACCTACAGTAACCCTGTTCCCCACAACCAACAGTAACCCTGTTCCCCACAACCTACAGTAACCCTGATCCCCACAACCTACAGTAACCCTGACCCCCACAAACAAACAGTTACCCTGTTCCCCACAACCTACAGTAACCCTGTTTCCCACAACCTACAGTAACCCTGTTTCCCACAACCTACAGTAATGCCTGTTCGTTCAATACAGATTGAGAGTGACATGGCGAGAAATAACACTATATTGAATGAATGCTTTATTACAACACTTTCAAAAGCGATAACACAAGTGAAAAGTACTGTATTAGTTATATTTGTAAATGAAGTTGAAATTATCAATGTTAAACAAAAGTAAAACCTTCCACCATTCTGCTGGGAAGAGTGTGAAGCCACATCCCTGCCAGACAAGTTGGCTTGAGCAGGTCACACCAACATGACATCAATACCACCAACAATCACGGCCTGCCTCAACTCCATCTCACCCATTTCCACTGGTAATTGTATAACAATTAGTCTATGTCAGGTTGTGGTCAAACTGCGGCTAGCACTCCCCGGCCTCCATATTTAAAGGGACAGCTTTCATGCATCAGAGCACATGAGATGCTTCTTTGAAACACCGACTCTATATCTGCATGTGTGTGATTTATGGATGATCAAAGTGAAAAACTAGATGGCCACTGATTTGTGTGAGAAAGGGTTATATGATATTGGTGCAGTGGTCATTTGGTCAAGTTGAAATGAAGACAATAAAGGCTAAACACACAGGGCCAATTAATCACCATGAAGTGTACATTGAGAGGGTCACGTCTCCAGCCTTTTAGTAATGGTGTGGAAATTGAATATTGTATAAAACCATCTTTTCTTCTTAAGTTGTTTCTGATGTGATAAAGAGTTAAAAGGGCTTGACTGATATATAGATGCTGAAAATATACCTGTAGAGGTTGTAATGCCTTGAGAGTTTTATATGGACAAGATTAAAGGATTATCAAATGTAAATTCAAAGAATAAACCTTCAAGAATCTAATATTGAAAGCCACAATAACTCGGTGCGCCCAGTGGCAGCAAGAGTTGTATACTCCTTAGGGAGTTGAGATTGATAATACGATGTGCCGTTGAGATTGACATCCAATGATCGAGTGGAAAATACCAGCACCTTGAGCATGCACCTGTTGCGTGGATATGTGCGCTATATAAATATACTATAATAATAATATAATAATATATATCCTGAGAAAAATATCATGTTTTGTGCAATGGGTCTTGTCATTCCTCACACAGATTACTTTTAGTGGGATATGAGTGAACGGTGTAATCTAAGAAATATACTACAAACATTAACTGTGGAGGAATCTTTTGTCCTTGTCACTAACATTAACTGTGGAGGAATCTTTTGTCCTTGTCACAAACATTGAACACCTTTAGCAGGAAAAGAAGAACTATTCACAAACTGAATCACAGAATGAACCACTTATCTTGTGTGTTTTATTTCAGAAAAACTGCATGATGACACTGGCATAGGACTATGAGGTAGCGTTCCCTCAACTGCGACCCCCTCGACTGACGGCCTCAGATACTGACACAGCCTTCTATACCTGAGCGTGTCTAACCTCCAGACCACAGGTGATTCATCACTTGCATACTGCTCTCTGATTGGCTGATGACTTGGTAAACAGTTGGCGGGTGGATGACAGACCGCTGTGACACTAGGTACGCTACACCTTGCCCCCTCCACAAGTTGAGCTGTGTTGTCTCGAGGGTCTGAAAAACCTGATAAACATAACCATATTGAAATGAAGCTTACAGGGGCACAGTGTTCGTGCAAATTTATCACGCTCATTTCCGGTCATTTTCTTGAGATGAAGTGTATAGGTGTTCCCAGCATAATACCGATACACCAAGCGTCCAGGAAACTTTTATCTGCACTGTGAGCCTCAAGTTTTCCTTTAGGGATATTTCTCAATGAGTCTCAATGACTTGAGCACGTATAAAGCTGTTGAAAATATAAAATGTTTTAAAGAGGCATTTATGACGTGTCACAATTTCTTCATTTGCACATGATTTTTTTATGAGTGTTTTTTTCTGGTATTATGATTTATGAATATTCATAAGGGTGCTTTTATGAGGGGATATGGATCCTTTGAAAGGATGAGATTGTGATTCATGTCCTGATTAAGCAAACCGTGAATCACATGCTTTTCACAACGGAGGGCTTTATGTTTACCATCATGTTAGTCATTATCTGTATTACAATGTACAGGATGTTTGGAAGGGATACCTCATAATAGAGGCCTCAGAAATGAGGTTTGGATTACCATAATTACTAGGTATTTTAGTTCTACAAACACTGAAAATCATCCAGCATTTGTAATTTGTTTTGCTCCCTTTAAATATCACGGTCATGGATGTTTATGTCCTTATGTTAACAAATATGTAGCCTTAATGATAGACGTGAGTACTTTATTGATAATTGCTTTAATTTACAATCATTGAACAACATTATCATTTACATTTCATATATCTACTGAGTTCAGATATGTGAATCATAAGTATTACAAATTAAAGTGGATCTATAACTTAGTATGAATCACATTTAGTTATGTAGCCAGCAATCTCTTGTTCTGCCATGAGTAAAGTACATCACGACAAACGTAATTATGTCACATGACAGTTATATTTTATTCATGAATCACTGAATACATTTTTTTTCAAAATGTAATGACTCAATTGCGTCAAGCACCGGTGTTGTGTAAATTTCTTGTTTCACGAACGTACTGACATTATGTTCCCAGTACAGAAGTGTAGGTTGGACTTGCGACGTACATTAGTTGTCAGTTTACTTAGGCAGTTTCAATGGAGGCTCCGGGTTACGTTTTCAGCATCGCTGGATTTATTTGTGGCCCATGGCGGTACTAGGGATACGTCAGGGTACTTACTGGAGGTTGGAGATACGTAAATAGACTCCGCCAGGGATGGCAGGCTGATGTAATGGTCGGTTTGACCCACATACAGAATGTTTTGCCGTGATGCGACCATCCTTTAACAGATTCCCATCTGCAATGTGAAGGTCGTCTTAGGTAACTAATGACATTTTGTGCGTGGTTATATTTTATCTATGAGATATAGCTCCAGTTACTGTTGTATAGACACATGAATTTAAGGGCGTTTGCGTGTGATCAGGTTTCACCAGTGATGAGATGACATTATATGCTAAACGTACACTACAGTGATCGTACCATACATAGGTGTGTTCCACAGGCAGAGACAAACAGGCTGAGTGGACATCGCAGGTACTGATAGTGCATGACACCACACATGACACTCTAAACATGACAAACTACACATTGAACAGATTGAAGCACTCTAAATGACACTCAACACATGACACATGACATGACATTCTCTACATGACACACTACACGTATATGACACATGACTCACTATACATGACACATGACACACTCTACATAACGCTCGGCACATGACACTCTACATGACACACTACACATGACACACTACACATGTCACTCTCTACATGACACACTACACATGACAAACTATATGACACACTACACATGACACATGACTCACTACACATGACACACTATATGACACACTCTACATGACACACTACACATGACACATGACTCACTATAAATGACACATGACACGCTCTACATGACACATGACACACTACACATGACATGCTCTACATGACACTTGACACATGACAACACATTACACACTACACATGACATGACTCACTATACATGACACGCTCTACTTTACACTACACATGACACTCTTCATGACACATTACACATGACACGTGGCACACTCTCCATGACAGATTACACATGACACATGGCATGCTCTACATGACACACTACACATGACACTACATGACACACTTTGCATGACACATGGCACACTACACATGACACATGGCACACTCTACATGACACACTACACAGGACAGACCCTACATGACACACTACACATGACACACCTCATGACGCTCTACATGACACACTACACATGACTCACTACACATGGCACTACACATGACACTCTACACATGACTCACTACACATCACACACTACACATGGCACACAACTCTTGACACACTCTACATGACATACTACACATCACACACTACACATGACACACCACACATGATGCTCTATACATGACACGACACACATGACACAATACATGACACACTCTACACATGACTCTACACATGACACACTCTACATGACACACTACACGTGACACACCACACATGACGTTCTAGACATGATGCACTCTACATGACACACTACACATGACACATGACTTACCACTTAACATTTCATACAACATCTGTATACATGTTTAGAAGATTATATCACTTCATCATAACATTCCTTCATCTTCATATGTGGGCGGTGTGGTAGCCTAGTGGTTAAAGCATTGGCTCGTCACGCCGAAGGCCCGGCTTCGATTCCACATGGGTACAACGTGTGAAAGCTATTTGTGGTGTTCTCCACCATGATATTGCTGGAATAAAAGCAGCATAAAACTCACTCACTCACTCACTCACTCACTCACTCACTCACTCACTCACTCACTCACTCACTCACTCACTCACTCACTCACTCACTCACTCACTCACTCACTCACTCACTCACTCACTCACTCACTCACTCACTCACTCACTCACTCACATGCTCCTTACAGTAATATAACACATCTGAGCATGGGTTGGTGTACCGCAAGAGCCACCGTGTCCTCATCAGTTTACGCAATCACATTAAATCAGCGACCACACATTGCCACATGTACTCCACTACATTATCATAATGCTGTTTGGGCCGATGAATATGGATGTGGCACCAGGGAGGTACCACGAGGGTGTGAGAAGAATGAGTTAATTATGCCAGACAGGTGTGAAACCAGGTGAGTCAGAATGGTCTCATGACTTATGATTCATATTTTTATGAACAGTTGCGGCCTACTCAACTACTGAGGAAGCACACTTGTCATAAATATCATAAAAATACTGAAGTTGAACTGTAAATATGTCAATCTTATCTTGTCACAGTAAACTTTATGTTGTATTATTATTGAGTTGGTTGTCTTTTTAATGTACCAAGATATTCTGTAAAGGCAGTGGAGAACAGATGTACATAGGACATTGATATCACAGTATAGCTCACCTGGTCAACTGGTTAGTTTAGTCAGTAGTGCAGTGTAATCTAGTCTGTCATTAATTATTGTAGGGGTAAGCTATTTCATGGCAGGAGCTTGTGCTCAAGGCTGGCTTTTTAATGTCCAAAAAAATATCACTGACTCACATGATGTACCCTGAGGCTTGCTCTAGTTTGTGTCTTGTATCTAGGAGGTGAGTGTAGGTTGTAGTCATCAACACAACATCTTTGTCATGACCACCACAGTGTGATGCCAGGTCTGGAGCCAGCAAACCATATACTGACTGTTGGACACCCGTGGGGGAAAGAACAACCAGCCTGACTCTGACTTCAGTTGGTGTCACTGACTGTCAGCCATCTTGTCCAACTGATTCTCACTCAAACTGCCTTGTACAGCATTCTGCTGGAGTGTTTCAGCTGTCCTACGTCAGACAGTAGTTACAGACAGTGTATGGAGGGAGGGGCTGATATGTCAGGAGTACGTTGCTTGCTGTTGGTGACATTGTGTCCAGCTGATCCACCTTGGTTGGTTTGAACGCAGGAGGATGTAGAAGTTTGGATGCTGTAGATCCACCACCTGGTAGAGATTCCCTCTGAGAAGCCATCCATTTGGTCTCAGATAGTACTGGACAGATTGTCACCTTAATGTTTGCCATAATCAGAAACTGTGTTTGTCAACAGTGTTTATCATAATAAATTATATTTTTTAGTTTGAATGTGTCATGTGTTGTTAGTTCAACTACCAACTGACAAAATTATACTCTGACCGGATTATAAACTTTTGAGGTAAGAGGTATTACACTCCATGTAAAATCTGTTAGAAACCATCTCCCTTTGCACCCCATGGAACTAACAACTCATTGATATACCCCAGTATTTCTTCCAATGCTAATACTTTCAGCTACAATTGAGTCAGCTGTACATGGCTCCCAGTTATTAGCATTCTGAACCCACACCTAAATTAACATGTCACCATGAATGTAAAACATACTTCTTGTATCAAAGTTAGACAAACAAGGAGACTTGAGAAGCATCACCTTCAACATAATGTTGAGCAATTAGCACAGGAAATGTCTTCTTATCCTGAACATATTCTGCTTTTATTGTCTCTTTACCAAAGTCACATTCAACAGTTGTCCAAGTGAGTTTCCAGTAAGCATGCATGGGTTGTTGTGTACAATATGGAACAGCCTGAGTCTCCCTGTGCACCACCCCATGGGTTGTTGTGTACAATATGGAGTCTCCCTGTGCACCACCCCATGGTTTGATGACTGCATCTACCAGCTGCTCATTGCTGCTCGGAGGGGGGAGAATGAAATAACAAATGTTTGAAAAGTAGGAAATGGTGACTCAAATAATTACATCTTTTGTAATAATATCTCTCTTTTATCGACAAAGCACTCATTATTTTGAAAAAGATAATAAATATGCATCTGTCATTTATTAATACATTTGGAGTGCCATGGATGGTTGATTCTGGTGGCCCAATTGGTCCAGACGGGGGAAATACTGGGTCCACCTTGTGGTCTATTTTGGTGTTGCCCAGGATGTATCTTCTGGTCTAGTTGGAAATTTGCCAGTGTCCTCCTTCTGGTCTAGTTGGGTGTTGGTCAGGATCCTCCTTCTGGTCTAGTTGGGTGTTGGTCAGGATCCTCCTTCTGGTCTAGTTGGAAATTTGCCAGGGTCCTCCTTCTGGTCTAGTTGGGTGTTGGTCAGGATCCTCCTTCTGGTCTAGTTAGAAATTTGCAAGGGTCTTCCTTCTGGTCTAGTTGGTTGTTGGTCAGGATCCTCCTTCTGGTCTAGTTGGGTGTTGGTCAGGGATCCTAGTTTCTGGTCAGGGTCCTCCTTCTGGGTGTTGGGTGTTGGGCAGGATCCTCCTTCTGGTCTAGTTGGGTGTTGGTCAGGATCCACCTTCTGGTCTAATTGGGTGTTGGTCAGGATCCACCTTCTGGTCTAGTTGGTTGTTGGTCAGGATCCTCCTTCTGGTCTAGTTGGAAATTTGCCAGGGTCCTCCTTCTGGTCTAGTTGGGTGTTGGTCAGGATCCTCCTTCTGGTCTAGTTGGGTGTTGGTCAGGATCCTCCTTCTGGTCTAGTTGGGAATTTGCCAGGGTCCTCCACCTTCTGGTCTAGTTGGGTGTTGGTCAGGATCCTCCTTCTGGTCTAGTTTCAGGGAAGTTGGGTGTTGGCCAGGGTCCACCTTCTGGTCTAGTTGGGTGTTGGTCAGGGTCCACCTTCTGGTCTAGTTGGGTGTTGGTCAGGGTCCACCTTCTGGTTTAGTCCACCTTCTGGTCTAGTGGGTGTTGGTCAGGGTCCACCTTCTGGTCTAGTTGGGTGTTGGTCAGGATCCTCCTTCTGGTCTAGTTGGAAATTTGTCAGGGTCCACCTTCTGGTCTAGTTGGGTGTTGGTCAGGATCCTCCTTCCTCAGGATCCACCTTCTAGTTGGTGTTGGTCTAGTTTAGGGTGTTGGTCAGGATCCACCTTCTGGTCTAGTTGGGTGTTGGTCAGGGTCCACCTTCTGGTCTAGTTGTTGGTGTTGGTCTAGTTGGGTGTTGGATCCACCTTCTGGTCTAGTTGGGTGTTGGTCAGGATCCTTCCTTCTGGTGTTGGTTGTTGGTGTTGGTCAGGATCCTCCTTCTGGTCTAGTTGGGTGTTGGTCAGGGTCCACCTTCTGGTCTAGTTGGGTGTTGGTCAGGATCCTCCTTCTGGTCTAGTTGGGTGTTGGTCAGGATCCACCTTCTGGTCTAGTTGGGTGTTGGTCAGGATCCTCCTTCTGGTCTAGTTGGGTGTTGGTCAGGGTCCACCTTCTGGTCTAGTTGGGTGTTGGTCAGGATCCTCCTTCTGGTCTAGTTGGAAATTTGCCAGGGTGCACCTTCTGGTCTAGTTGGGTGTTGGTCAGGATCCTCCTTCTGGTCTAGTTGGGTGTTGGTCAGGGTCCACCTTCTGGTTTAGTTCGGTGTTGGTCAGGGTCCACCTTCTGGTTTAGTTCGGTGTTGGTCAGGATCCACCTTCTGGTCTAGTTGGGTGTTGGTCAGGATCCTCCTTCTGGTCTAGTTGGGTGTTGGTCAGGGTCCACCTTCTGGTCTAGTTGGGTGTTAGTCAGGATCCACCTTCTGGTCTAGTTGGGTGTTGGTCAGGATCCTCCTTCTGGTCTAGTTGGTTGTTGGTCAGGATCCTCCTTCTGGTCTAGTTGGAAATTTGACAGGGTCCTCCTTCTGGTCTAGTTGGGTGTTGGTCAGGATCCACCTTCTGGTCTAGTTGGGTGTTGGTCAGGGTCCACCCTCCTTCTGGTCTAGTTTGGATCCTCCTTTGGTCCAGGGTCCACCTTCTGGTCTAGGGTCCACCTTCTGGTCTAGTTGGGTGTTGTGTTGGTCAGGGTCCACCTTCTGGTCTAGTTGGGTGTTGGTCAGGATTGGTGTTGGTCAGGGTCCACCTTCTGGTCTCTGGTCTAGTTGGGTGTTGGTCAGGATCCTCCTTCTGGTCTAGTTGGGTGTTGGTCAGGGTCCACCTTCTGGTCTAGTTTGGTGTTGGTCAGGATCCACCTTCTGGTCTAGTTGGGTGTTTCAGGTCACCTTCTGGTCTAGTTGGGTGTTGGTCAGGATCCACCTTCTGGTCTAGTTGGGTGTTGGTGGATCCACCTTCTGGTCTAGTTGGGTGTTGGTCAGGATCAGCCTTCTGGTCTAGTTGGGTGTTGGTCAGGATCCTCCTTCTGGTCTAGTTGGTTGTTGGTCAGGATCCTCCTTCTGGTCTAGTTGGAAATTTACCAGGGTCCTCCTTCTGGTCTAGTTGGGTGTTGGTCAGGATCCACCTTCTGGTCTAGTTGGGTGTTGGTCAGGATCCACCTTCTGGTCTAGTTGGGTGTTGGTCAGGATCCACCTTCTGGTCTAGTTGGGTGTTGGTCAGGATCCACCTTCTGGTCTAGTTGGGTGTTGGTCAGGGTCCACCTTCTGGTCTAGTTGGGTGTTGGTCAGGATCCTCCTTCTGGTCTAGTTGGAAATTTGCCAGGGTCCACCTTCTGGTCTAGTTGGGTGTTGGTCAGGATCCTCCTTCTGGTCTAGTTGGGTGTTGGTCAGGGTCCACCTTCTGGTTTAGTTCGGTGTTGGTCAGGGTCCACCTTCTGGTCTAGTTGGGTGTTGGTCAGGATCCTCCTTCTGGTCTAGTTGGGTGTTGGTCAGGGTCCACCTTCTGGTCTAGTTTGGTGTTGATCAGGATCCACCTTCTGGTCTAGTTGGGTGTTGGTCAGGATCCACCTTCTGGTCTAGTTGGGTGTTTGTCAGGATCCTCCTTCTGGTCTAGTTGCTTGTTGGTCAGGATCCTCCTTCTGGTCTAGTTGGAAATTTACCAGGGTCCTCCTTCTAGTCTAGTTGGGTGTTGGTCAGGATCCACCTTCTGGTCTAGTTGGGTGTTGGTCAGGGTCCACCTTCTGGTCTAGTTGGGTGTTGGTCAGGATCCTCCTTCTGGTCTAGTTGGAAATTTGCCAGGGTCCTCCTTCTGGTCTAGTTGGGTGTTGGTCAGGATCCACCTTCTGGTCTAGTTGGGTGTTGGTCAGGATCCACCTTCTGGTCTAGTTGGGTGTTGGTCAGGATCCACCTTCTGGTCTAGTTGGGTGTTGGTCAGGATCCACCTTCTGGTCTAGTTGGGTGTTGGTCAGGATCCTCCTTCTGGTCTAGTTGGGTGTTGGTCAGGATCCTCCTTCTGGTCTAGTTGGGTGTTGGTCAGGATCCACCTTCTGGTCTAGTTGGGTGTTGGTCAGGATCCACCTTCTGGTCTAGTTGGGTGTTGGCCTGGATCAACCTTGTGGTCCAGTTGGGTGTTATCCAGAGTTCCCATGGTGTCCAGTTGGGAGTTATCCAGAGTTCCCATGGTGTCCAGTTGGGTGTTATCCAGAGTTCCCATGGTGTCCAGTTGGGAGTTGGCCAGGGTCCATGTTGTGGTCCAGTTGGATGTTGGCCAGGGTCCACCATTTCTTCTGCCTTGGTGATGTGAGGGTCCACTTTTGGGTCCAGTTGTTTCATTATTAACCTGTAGCACTCAAGTCAAACAGTTTTCATAACTTGGTTCACATATTGTGTGTGGCAGGTGGAGTATGTAAGATGTAAACCTTTTAAGTAACTGTTAAGGGTAAGTCAAGGTTAATTAACTGAAAACATAACTTTTATATAAAGAGATGTTAGTGAAAGATATGTGTTATTTAACATAGCCAATCATTTTGTCTCACTTTACTGAACTTAGCAAAATATGCTATGCTGTTTGCATAAATAGCATAGTTATCCAGTGACTGCAATGGCTTCTGCATTGGTCTGTTCAACACAGGTTAAACCAAACAAGCCATTTGTCTGTATCATGGCCATTTAAGTGTATTAATACATGTTATCAACAATTATCAATACATGATCCCTTCTGAGATGCTTCAATCATAACCATGATTAGCACAGGGGACAATTGAATAGTCATGTTTGTTTTGGCAGAGTGACCTACATTTGAAGGCATTGATGGCTTAACAAACAATTACCCATCATTGACTGCTATTGATGTTGTCAATTGCTCGTCAATTTCATACCACATGGGTTTATGATTTAATCAATGCTTGTGGTTACTGATATAAGATTGCCTTGGGATTAGGACCTGCTGCAACAATATCATTGGTTTATATCCCTCTTACAATAAAAGGAGGCTTCATGGACTTGTATAGCCTCCATAACAATCTAAGGGCTTTGCTTTAATTATCCTCTTTCCACCATGTTTGTATTTAAGCTTAATATGTAATTGATCTGTCTAATCATGTAAACTTAACATAATAAGCCTTAGCATGTGAACTTGTATATGACTGGACTGGATTTTTTAAGGAAAGAATGTTACAATGAGCAGTATGATAGATACTAATTATATTTCTTTAGGGGTTGTTTCCCTTGTATACTTCATGATGTGCACATTTGAATAATTCCTGACTTACAAGGCTCCATGATTACAAGAGGGCTATCATGACCAGACATCTGTTATTGTCCGGAAAGTTTGATATATTATTTGGTAAACATTTGAAAGAAATAACTTGAATATAGATTAACGTAGCTTTGAGCCCAACTCTGAACAGTATTTTTTGTTGGACCACAGTCAGCTGGGGGAGTGTGGACGACCCAAAGTGATGTCACTGTTACCAGTGTCAAAACTAATCTGTAATATACAACTTAAGATGATAGAAAAAAATGTTCATACCAACAAGTTAACTGTTATCCAATGTTTACCCATGTAATAAATTTACAGACCATATAGTATTTTAAATTGATCTGATATTTATTGAGGATCTGATATTTATTGAGTACAGAATTTATTATCAGTTTATATGTGTACCCATTAGTTGCAATCCAGATTGCCAAATATAAACTATTAGCATTTAACGTTCATAATCAAGGGATGATGTCGGTTGGGGTTAAGATGTTGACCTGGGACCACTGTTTATAGCCTCGTAACAAGTTGTTCAATCAGCCTTTACAAGATTTAGGATTATAATCTTTAAGGAGGCAATGTAAACATAATATTTATTTCCATTGTAATTTATGAAAACAGACACATGACACAGATGATATTAAACATTTGACTGACCTGATATAAATGGCCTGAGATTGGTTGTGGGGGTTTATATGTGCAATTAGCTGATTTGTTGCTTGTCATTTCCACACTGCGAGCTTTCATGACGCAAGAGGCTGAAAAAATATTTAGGTTGCCATTTTTTTAATGCTTGTTAAGTTGGTTAAGTACCATAAAAGCCTTGAATCTGTGAGATAACAAAACAAGCGCCACATAACAGATTGAAAATTGTAATTAAATACTGCAATTTGTCTTGTTAATTTTTAACATTTACAACATTTATCTGTGATATGTTCAAACAATGGCTTGATATTTAAATGTTAAAGAGAAGACTTGATTAAGATTCAGTTTTATGAGAGGTTGTAGAGTATGTGTGATAAACATAATGTGTGATGCTACGTATTGTACATTTGAAATGATATTTTCTGTGTTTATGAACAAGAGCTTTTATTAATAACTTAAATCTACTTACTCGTGTATGTCTTTGATGGCCCCATTTCCCTTGATGATGGGACTGTTCTCTTATCAAGTGTCATGTTTAATGAATCAAGTGTGAAGCTTGTTTTTTAACGCCTCACGTCACAATATTCCAGCTATATGGCGGAGGTCTGTAAATAATCAAGTCTGGATCCAGTGATCAACAGCATGGGCATCAATATACGCAATTGGGTTACAATGATACGATGACATGTGTCAACCAAGGCAGTTTTGTGACCACCCGATCCTGTTCCCATTAGTTGCCTCAGTTGCTAGAGACAATTCTAACCTGGATCTTCACGGGTAAGTGTGAAGCCCTTGTGTATTCTATGGTGTATCGTATTGCGATGTTAATTACCATCTAGATATGTATCATGTATCCAGCAAGTGTATCATTACAACCCTACGCTCGGTGTATGCTAGCAACATGAGCTTTTCCTGAAATAATTCGCAGAAATAGAACTGTTGCACTGAAGGCAGAAAAGTTGGAATCCTCAAGTAAACTGTGTCTTCATTAAACAGCTTCTAACATGCCTCATTACTACATTGTAGACCCGTGAAGGTCCGGGTTACAATATTGATCTTCAGTAACCCATGCTTGTTGTAAGAGGCGACTAACATGATCGGATGGTCAGGCTCGCTGACTTGGTTGACACATGTCATCGGTTCCCAAAGTTGCGCAGATCGATGCTCATGCTGTTGATCACTGGATTGTCTGGTCCAGACTCGATTATTTACAGACCACCGCCATATAGCTGGAATATTGCTGAGTGCGGCGTAAAACTAAACTCACTCACTCACTTTACAACATTGTCAACCACTTGCTTTATAAACTAGACTATTGCCTTCTGTGGTGTCACACTACTCACACACACATTAATGTGTGTTTACGAGGGGGCGGTCAGGTAGCCTAGTAGTTAAAGTGTTGGCTCATCATGCCGAAGACCAGGGTTCGAATCCCCACATGGGTACAATGTTTGAAGCCAATTTCTGGTGTCCCCTCCCCGTGATGTTGCTGGAATATTGCTAAAAGCAGCATAAAACCAAAACTCAGTCAGTCAGTATTTGCTGAGTTGTGTACTTGAACATGTATTCGTACACATTTTCATATTTGTTTCAAAATCATGCATGTACATAAAATATATAAAAACCTTTTGTCGGTCATGGTGTATGTGAAGTTTATCTTGATCTGATCAGTTTAATAAAAATATAGGCTTCATCCATATCTTTCAATTTGACTGACAAATTTCATGTCATTTATTATCTAGCCTTCTGAGTGATTCTTCTGTCAGAATGTACGACATATTAAACAGGGCAACTATCGAGCATTCAATGACCTGACAAGATTATAACTGAGAACTGAAAACAATGAAATACTATCCCCCACACACCTTTTATTGGTTGTTATTAAAACCTGCTTTGTTAAGTGCAAGTTCTGAGTTGATAGGTACATTAGTTCAAGCTTTGAGATAACTTACCTCCACTGATTGATAAATCTCTGATTCACCATCCAACTGAAATATGTTTGTGCTTGGTTTGTGATGAGTTGAAAGTGCATGAAGGATGTTCAGCCACAAGTAGATGTCATTCAGGGAAATATTTGGATTGGCAGGTTTCAGTGTGTTTGTAAATAACACTGACCGCTGTCAATGTGAAATGTTTGAAACAGATAAATGTCAGGATAGTTTCTTTATTATATTGAGTAAGGGATAGTGAGATTGTTTACAGAGTAGAGGTTTACTTGGGATCCTGGGTTGATTTTGGAAGTGGTATAGTAGTGGTGAAAATGTGATTATGTAATATTTTGATTATGTATGGATGGTATGACTCAGATGGAAGAGTGTTTGCTATGTTTTCAGGGTTGATTCCATACATGGTAGCTTATTGGAAAGGATATATGACTTAATTTCTCATCCATGCATGGAAGATACTGCAGTGTAATATGTTTACGGCAATATTACATAAGTGTAATACCGCTAGACGTATGACGTCATGATGTTTTAGTTATGATGTCACAATGCTAATATCTCTGTCACAATGGTATTAGACCTTGCTTGACTTGCAGAAAGCTGAGAGTCATCACACTGTAGGCAGTTTCTATCAATTTATGTTCGAAAGTAATAAACAGAATACTAAACTCACTTCCGTGAAATATCATTTTTATTAAACCTCGCGAAAGGTTTAGTATCAACTTGCTTTTACTCGTTTGATACCAAATCATTAACTCGTTAACTAAAACTGGTAATTACACGGAAGGTCGTTAAGTATCTTCTATGTATTGTATATTTACACTGATTAATGTCTGAGTTGTATGGCTCAGATGCAAGGGTGTTTGCTAGACTTAATGCAGGGTTGATTCCTGACAGGGTCAGTTTCTCTAGAGCAAGCATGTTTGAGTATGAAATGTCCTCACGTTCATTAAGGCCAGAGATATATGGCCCTGATGGAGGAGTGTTAGAATGGAGCTAGGTAGTCCAGTGGTGACAGTGCCAGCTCAAGGCACAGGTTCCATTCCCAAAAAACTTCAGATGTGGGAAGCACACTTCTGTCTCTCATACTGAGGCATTAAATCAGCTTGAAAGTATCTCACTGGCTCGTGCTGGGATTATGTGAAATATTTGAGACGGAAGAATCGGGCCTGTAATAGCTGATATTCAACACTGATGTTCCCATCCGAGGATGAATGCACAAGAACAGGAAAGCCTTGTAGGATACATGGGTCCCAATTAAAAAACATAATAGTCATAGCTATGATTTCCCACAAACATAATTAACTAGTTTTGGAATCAACCCCAAACAATATGCTTTATGTTGGTGTATATTTTCTGGAAATAAATCTATAGCGAAACCATTTTACAAATTGACCCCTGACAAGTACGTCGTTGGATTAACCACAAGGTTTCCCTCACAACTGATGTTATGATGTACCTGTTTTATCATGACATTCTTAAACTACATTAATGAGATGGGGCGGTGGGGTAGCCCAGTGGTTAAATCGTTGGCTCGTCACGCCAAAGACCCAGGTTCAAATCCCCACAAGGGTACAATGTGTGAAACCAATTTCTGGTGTTCCCCGCCATGATGTTGCTGGAATATTGCTAAAAGCGGCGTAAAACCTAACTCAGTCAGTCAGTCATTAATGAGATGCATCTCATAGCTTGAGTGAGTGAGTGAGTTTCATTAAAACCGCACTCAGCAATATTTAAGCTACATGGTGGCAGTCTGTAAATAATCGAGTCTGGACCAGACAATCAAGTGATCAACAGCATGAGCATCGATCTGCGCAACTGGGAATCGATGACATGTGTCAACCAAGTCAGCGAGTCTGACCACCCGATCCCGTTGGTCGCCTTTTACGACAGGCATGGGTTACTGAAGAAGAATTCTAACCCAGACCTTCACATGTCTCCCTTAGCTTGAGGAATCAGATATAGTATACCCAGTATGTTCAATCAATGCTTGTAACTTCACGTTGGTAAAGACAAGATGTAAAGTCTGTTTAACGTGTTCACCACTGCATGGACTGTTTAGAAACTGACAACCACACCCTGGATGTAGCTTGCAGCGGTTGTCACCCACCGATGAAACCCCAAACATATCATTAAAATACATACTTACAGAGTGGTTTAGATGTTTTTGTGATAAGATTGTTTACTTATTACCATAATGTAACAATGAGCCCAAGTTTCAAAAGTATTCATTACAACACAAAGTTTTTAATAATGGCTACATCATACCACAATCTTCAGGCTGAAAACCGCCTATTATCATGATAATGTATGTAGACTTACTACTGGCGGTATCGCTGATCTGAGTCTCACACAAACATTGTTCCCATATTCTCACTCCGCTGACTGTCAGTGTGCACAGTTTAACAACATTGTACCTGCAAAATGCTGGGGTTGTTTGATGGTGTAATACAGTGTTGTGGTTGCCCCATTAAGAACGGAATTAGATTTTATTGCTCAAGAGCAAGATAAAGTAGGGTGTTTTTTGTATATACATCAAAAAGGAAAATCATTTAGGATGCAATTTGTACTATTTATAAAAGCAATACAAGATATATATTGCTCTAGAGTTGCATTGTGATGGAATATATCTTCCTGTTATTCGTAATTGTCATTGACCATGAAGTCCAATGCATCTTGAAATGTTTTTAAATTACTTCATGCATGTGTTTGTGTTTATATGAATTCTGATTCAATTATGTTAATCACTGTGCTAACAGGGAAGGAAGTTAATGGGTGATATGTGTGGAATAATTTTAGAAGTGGATGGTGGCAGGAGGTGGGGGTGGGGTGGAAGGAGATTGGGGTGGGTGTGGAGGTGGGGTGGGGTGGGGGTGGAAGGAGTTTGGGGTGGGTGTGGAGGTGGGGGCATGAGACAGGAGGGCTGAGGAGGGCATGACTTGATTGGAGTGAGGTTATTGTGTGTGAATGTGTGTGCGTGCATGCGTATGTGAGGAAGGAGTACATGTGTGAAGACATCAATTGGGGTGTGGTTATGGGGAGACCGGGGTATGCTGGAAGGGATACACCCAGCTTTTATTTCTGTTATAATTTGTTTATTATACAGGTGATCTTGAAACTTATCCCTTTGTCAGTTCTATGTCATGGGACATGAATAATTGTCAAGCAGTGAGATGGATTCACCCACATGTTTGACAATGAATGTGCAACAACCCGTCCTAGCCTCCCACTGATTTTAATCATGCAAAACTTGTACACTATACAAAATAAACTAAATCATTTAGGGAGTGATTTCCTTAAATGTAAATGATTTTTAACTGTTTGTTTAGTGTCCCACTTCTCCAGAAAACCCCTTTTCAAATAAAATGACAGATGACAGATGACAGAGAACTCCTTCAGTAAAGTCATGAACAGAGGGAGGCTATTCATGCAGTCAGTATGAAATACTAAGTTGATAAATTCCCCTGTCCTCAACTCCTCTATGCAAAATAAAAACCATGTGACCCTGAATTACTTTATAAATGTGTGTGTTCATCCCCCCTATGTTAGCTGAATATGAGTCATTTTCGTCTGTAGGTAGAGTTTGTCATTGAATCCCCCAGTCTTCCCTCCAAGTTTATGACTTGCATGTATAGTTTCATGTACGGGGCCAGCGATGACAGATAGTCATGATAAAATCTGGCAGTGTCCACGAAAAAGACTCTTTTACAAAATCGGTCACCTGTTCCACAAATACCTGTCCACAATGAGGAAACAGTCAACTGATGTTACAACTGATACTGGTTATATCAATAAAACAAACTCAGGAGGGGAAACAAGTAATCGTCTATATCTTATGGTGCCAGTTTGACAGCTATTGACGAGCGTACATAACACATGGTACGTCAATCGTGTTGTTAATTTCTGGCTCTTGTACTGCAGGAAGTCGGATACTCGATGCCGATATAAACCTGTTCTCCACATTTCTAATCCATGGTAGGTAGCAGCCTACACAAATACTGATATCAAATACCCTTATTCTAAGTGGAGGAAGAGAACTAATCTTTGTTATCCTAATCCGTCCCGCGATATTTGATAGAGTGTGTGGTTTTTGCACCCTGATACGAAGAAGCCTTGTTCCGACCAAAGTTCAACAGCTCTTCTTTCTGCGTGCATGGCGGCAGATTGTAAAGACAAGGAGCTTATGGGTGGGGTGGAGGGGGAAGGATTAAAAGTATTAATACATGTATTAAGTTTTACAGGTGGAGAATTTCTTGGTATTGAGGTTTAAAGTATGTCGTGTTAAGTTTATTGCAACATTTAATTTGTTTTTATGTGACAGGAAGAAAAATAATACTGAAATCAGTATGTTTTATTTTGTTAAGGTTGTTGAGAGTCAGGAAGCATCCGTCGTCCTCGGGCAAGGTCGTTAACTTACTATAGAGCTCTCATGCTTGAGTTGTATGTTGGCTGAATCCATGCATAATCTTGTTGAAATGTCATAAGTGTAAACCATCATGCCAAAGATTCATGTGGGATTCTCCACATGGATTGAAATATGTGGAGCCCATATTTGGTGTTACTTGTTTTAGGGGGCAACTGTATCCCAGTTAGGTGCCACAACTTGGTGGGCTGAGCTTTATCACCTCAGGCATTCCAGTCATTTATGATCATGGGTTCAAATCCCAGATTCACTCTGGTAACATTTCATCGGTTTGTCGGCACCAGACCCAGGCTCATGTGGGAATTCCAAACATCAGCCTCCCTTCAGGCTTTCCTCCATCACCAAGTTCACACATTGTGACATAGGAGAACAGAGGCCATATATATATCTTATAGAAGACCTGATTGTCCTAGGCCATTATTATTATTATTATTATACACATTTGTATTATTATATGTTTTGTTACTCATCATATATATATGATTCATTATATATCTTCTTTATGTAGTTTATAGAATATTGTCACTGTTTCTGTATGGAACGTTTGTGCAATAAATATGTTATCTGTTATCTCTATAGAAATACAGCACCATTAGACTCACTCACTCACTCACTCAGTTCCAGTCATTCAGTCATGGACCCAGCCTTCCAACCTGTTTATGGTCAAATAACTCACACGTTGATGCTGTGAAATCTATGTCACTGTGACCCATAATACCAAACCCCGATCATGTTCCAAATCTTCCGGTAGAATTATCTTAGTCCTGATCTCTCAAAGGCGGACAGGTAGGTGGCCCTACCCATTTATTACAGTGGTCATCTCCTACAGGACTTCCACACTGCCTGCATCATATTACCCCTGATATATGGGTAGGTCTAAAAGTAACACCAAGGGATGTGTGCATCAGGTGGAATACGGAATCAAATTACCAATGTAATTAAATGGGAGTGTGTTTGATGGTCACAAGATCTGTTACCAAAAGTTACCGTACTTGATCCATTTCTCGTTTGTCATGTTTCTTTTAGGAGAATGTTAACAAGCTTTTTGATTGTTAAGTTGATCAGATAACAATGACAGGCTGGACAGAGAGTTCAAAACGCACAAAGGATGGAGACGGTCAACTTTGCAAAGGTCTTATTATAAGATCATTTGTTACATTTAATAAGATTTCATGCATCGGTAAACTTGGAGGACTGGGGAATTGACTGAGTTCTGGCTGGGATTTAGCCCTTGCATATTTTCACACATGTGCTTTCTCATCAATCTGATATTCACTCACTTACTTACTCGCAGTCCCTCACGAACTCACTCTTTTCCCACTCTTTCCAGTTCTCAAATAAACATGTGTTTGTATCATGTGACATGACAACTTAGTCCGTAAAAGGAATTTCATAGCTTTGAAACTCACTCACTCACTCCCCACTCACTCACTCACTCACTCACTTTTGGCATTAAGCCTGTCCTTACTCCTTCATCAGGTGATGGTAGGTTAGCCTAGTGGTAAGTGTGTTTCCGGACCCAGTAAACCCATTGTTTCCCAACCAGTTTTCAGCAGTTTTACAGCAACTGTATAAATCACCAAGCAGGTGCAGCAGAATCAAGAAGCTGGTTCGCTGTTGTTATTGTCCACAGATTTCACGATTATTTGTGGAATCAGGATTGAAATTTCACACTGTGGTATCACACCATTTATCTGTTTACTGGCTTCAGCTATGTGCTGGAGGCAGTCGATACATGCCTGTTATCTACCGGTGTTGAGTTCCGCTGAAAAACGGGCCATTGTGATGCATGTAGCTTACAGTGTTCACTGACATGGAAACATGATTGATTTCAGATGAGAAACTGAAACCTGTATTTCTATGTTGATACTGTTAATAGGGTTTTAATGGTATTTGTATCGAAAAGAAGATTTCTTTCTATCTTGATTTTGAATGCAATTGTTGAGAAATCTGATCGGTGTATATGTGGTTTGTATGCTGATTAGGAAGGTGACTGATATTAAAGAGGTTTAACAGTGCAGTTTTATTGGTTATTCTTTTTCTTCCTTGTGTCATAGTCCACCCTGACTGACTGAGTTTGGTTTTACGCCGCTTTTAGCAATATTCCAGCAACATCACGGCGGGGGACACTAGAAATGGGCTTCACACATTGTACCCAAGTGGGGATTCGAACCCGGGTCTTCGGCATGATGAGCCAATGCTTTAACCACTAGGATACCCCACCGCCCCCCACCCTGAAGATCCGTGTGAGAAGTGGTCATCAGCAGTCTTAAACAACCAATGATTGTTGTTAGGAGAGACGCACATGGGTGGATGGTCAGACCTGATGACTTTGTTAATGCATGTCTCATGTCCCAATGCTCATGATGTCAATCACAGGATTTCCTAGCAGATGTGTATGCTAGATACCTAGTTCATCTGCTAACATTCATATGATATAAAAGGTTATATTTCATTGCTCTGTGTGGTATAGTGCCTATATAGCACTTGCTGATGATTAAGGAGGCTTGAGTTTGAGTCCCATATGGTTGCAAAGTGGTTTTATCCAGTAAGTAAAACATGGTCACTCACTCACCCACCCACCTATTTAAGACCTACAAAACAGGACATGTGCCTCCCACTGCCTGTACACAGAAGCATGACAGAGAAACATGGTTGGAGCCATAAGAGTATACTTTGAGTACGTGTACTGACCACTAGCCAGCAGTACGTGTCCCCGCTCCTTGTGTGGCTGATGCAACTTGGCAGGGATGTGGCAGGGTGCTCTCTGTGCCAACTGTATCACTGTTATCTGGTGGGAGGAGAGTGAGGAGATAGCCCAGGACATTGACTAATGAAATACATATGTTATACACACTCCCAACTAGTTCGTAGCCCCCTGCACATGCAGAGAATACACATCGTATACGCTCCCAACTAGTTCGTAGCCCCCTGCACATCGTATACTCTCCCCCTAATTAGCAGCCCCCTGCACATGCAGAGAATACACATCGTATACACTCCCCCCTAGTTAGTAGCCCCCTGCACATGCAGAGAATACACATCGTATACACTCCCCCCTAGTTCATAGCCCCCTGCACATGCAGAGAATACACATCGTATACACTCCCCCTAGTTAGTAGTCCCCTGCACATGCAGAGAATACACATCGTGATACCTCCCCTAGTTAGTAGCCCCCTGCACATGCAGAGAATACACATCATATACACTCCCTTCACCTGGTTAGATAGCCCCTGCACATGCAGAGAATACACATCGTTATACATGCCTCCCCTAGTTCAGTAGCCCCTGCACATGCAGAGAATACACATCATATACACTCCTCTAGTTCATAGCCCCTGCACATGCGTGTAATACCCAGAGAATACACATCATTATACACTCACA